TTTTGTTCGAAAAAAATCGAAGAAATAACCGAACCGAACCAACAAGTTATATACATAAATTTTATTATTATACATACATAATATATTATATTCATAAACAATTTTAAAGATTTTATATATGTTTCATCAAAATTTATTTATAATTTACTTATGAAAGAAAAAATGTCCAAGGTGAGAACATTTTTCTTATTGGTTTCATGTATATGAGTGTCTATAGAAATTCTTTGGGGGACTGAAAATGTCATTGTCTCTTCCTTCTATGCCAAAATAGTGAATTTTGAAGTTTTATTCAGTAAATTCAATGATCGAAAGTTCTGTAATGTCAGTCATTCTAACTATTTTTTTGTTTGAATGGATTGTTGTCACTTTTTTTACGTTTTGAATGAATTGTTCCTTTTATTTTTATGTATGGTTAATAACCGAATAACCGAACCAAACCAAACCAAAACCGATAAATGTATATTATATTTGGTTTGGTTTGGTTTTGATAATTTTAAAACCGATTAAGTTGGTTTGGTTTTGGTTTTGACCAATAACCGACCCAAACCAAACTGTGAACACCCCTAATTCTGTTGATCACCTTTTCTTCCTTTTTACGAATATGGTGAATTCTCTTTGTACCGTGGAGATTTTCTTTATGGTTTCGACAACTACAAACTCTTTACTAGTGATTTGGCAGGATGAAACATACAAAAAGAATTGTGATCCATGTTGTCTGTTCTTGTTTCCACATAATGTGATGTGATTTAGTCCAATCTTAGTGATCATGTGATGTTTTGTGTCTTTCATGGACGTTGGTGGCAGTCGAAAGGAGATCTTTCTGGGGCCGAGGAATATTACTTTCAAGCTACTCTATTAGATCCACAAGACGGGGATATCTTGTCACAGTATGCTACATTGGTGTGGCAGCTACACCATGATAAAGATAGAGCCTTGAGCTACTTTGAACATGCCACTCATGTTGATCCCGAGAACAGGTACCTCATCCGTTTTGGGCTTATATGGCAGTATTTGAATGCAACGGAGTTTAAGAAAAAAAAAGAAATACTTCTGTCTCATACCAGAAGTACCACTATAACTCCTGGTTTCGACACATGCCATGATATCGTTATGGTTATAATAGCAAGTCATTAAGAGCAATATGAGAAGTTTCAAATTAAAGAGTTTCCGAATATAAAAAGCTGCCTTTTTTCTTGAAATAGCGCGATATGAAATGGAACATGTATAACTTTGTATCTTCATTTCTCATGATAGATCAATTATATGGTGTATTGATAGGTTACAAATTTGAACATCACATAGTATATATCTCCTTTTTCACATTCATTTTTTCTGTTTCCAGCTATGTCCTTGCAGCATATGCTAATTTTCTTTGGGAGATCAATTATGATGACAACGAGCACGATGCAGGCACACACCTTGATGAAACTAAGGTTTTCACACATCCTCTTTACTTTATTTCCAAGTGAACATATACTCCCTCTGTTTCAATTCGTTTTTCTTACTTTCCATTTTAGCCCGTTTAAAAAAGAATGTTTCTTTCCACCTTCGACAACTATTTTAGTTCTAACTTTCCACATGACATAATTAAAGTACATTTTGTTACATTCTACATATCTTTAGCTTAAGACCACAAGATTCAAAAGTCTTCTTTACTTTCTTAAACTTTGTGCCAAATCAAAACCAGACAAACAAATTGAAACGGAGGGAGTAACAACTTTTAGAACAAGATCTGTTTTGCATCATATCTCTTTTAGGACTGAAGTTTTTTCCTTCTTGATGTGCCATCTTTTTAAGGAAATCGAAGAAGTTGCTACGTCACACAACATGGATTTTGAACAAGATAACAGACAAGCTAGCCCTCTGCTGAATCTTGCTGCAGGATTTGGGATTGGAAATTGCGGATTTAGCGGTGGAATGACTCTGAATGAGCTTATAGCAGCTGAGGATTACTACAAGAGTATGATTCAAGAAAATCCAAATAACCCCTTAGTTTTAAGAAACTATGCTCAGTTCCTTGATCAGGTAATGTCCCTTATTTTTCATCTAAGCTACCGCGTATAAGGAGTGGCGTAGCAGCATATAGTGAAAGATAGTCAATTGAACACTCTGAGTTCTTTTGCATATATACACTCAACCTTTCCCAAACTCCACTTGTCATATTACATTGAGTATGTTGTTGTCATTAGCGTGCTTGCATTTTTTCGTGCAGTGTAAAGGGGACTTGAGAGGAGCTGAAGAATACTACTCGCGCGCGGTATTGACAGATGCTAGTGATGGAGAAATTATTTCACAATATGCAAATTTTATATGGCATCTTCATCATGACCAAAATAAAGCCTCCTCTTACTTCAAAAGAGCAGTTCAAGCTTCTCCTGGAAACTGGTAAGTGCTACTCTCTCCGTCTCATTTTATGTGACGGTGTTTGATAAGACATGAAGTTTAAGAAAGAAAGTCATTCTTCTGAACTTGTGATTTAAGACAAGCTATAGACATTTAATCGACTATAAATCATCTCATTAAAAGAGAAATGGAAAGTTCATAATTCCTTGTTTTGAATAAGAAGGTTCCCTTTTTTGATGTTTGATAACACCACATAATGATTTAAGAAATAAGGATTTAAACATTTATATGTACATCGTAAACGTTTCATTCTTCACTATCGTTTTCTCCCCTTTCATACCTACTTTGATCTGCTGTACTCGAGCTGAGAGTCTTTCGTAAACAGTCTCTCTACCTCCACGAGGTAAAGGTAAAATCTGCGTACACACTACTCTCCCAGACTCCACTTGTGGGATGTCACTGGGAATGTTGTTGTAGTAAAGGACTTTTGCATTGGCGCTATACTTTTGACATGATTCTTATTTTTCATGTAGTATTCTTTTTAGAGAACCATAGTATATATAGAAAAAATTACATAATCTTTTACATTTTTAGTGTAACATAAATTAGTACTACCATATTCATTACATTTATGTTGTTTTTGTTTTCAGCGATGTACTAGCATCATATGCTAGGTTTTTATGGGAAACAGAGGAAGACGAAGATGAAGATGAAGACAAAGACAAAGACGAAGATTCAGATAATCACAAATATCGATTTCAATATTTTCATGGAGTTGTGGCTACTTCAAATGCTTAATCCCCCGATACCAAGTAAAATGAGTGACTAGAGGGGATTACATGGTGGAAAATCGAAAGTGAAAGTTTAGGTAATCAAGTCAATCAACTGAACTACTAAGATTTTCCATTTTCCTATAGGTAAATAATATAGTTCCAATAGGATTTTTTTCCTTCCAAAAACCGTTGTCATACATAGAGATAATCTATAGCAACGTTTTTTTGTACAATTGCAACGATTTGATTGCTAAAGTGTATTAGCAACACTTAAATCGTTGCAATATAGTGTTTATAGCAACGGTTGTATAGCCATAGCAAAAAATACCGTTGTCATAGGTCTAGTTTCTAGTAGTGTCATTTCGAAATAACTTCAGACATGTGGCGTTTGATATTAAACTGCTGATAAAAATGACTTCAGACATGTGACGTTTGATATTAAACTGCTGATAAAATTGTCTGAAGTTACATATGTCTGAATTGATCAGGCAAAAATGACTAAAGTTAAAAGAAAAAATGTTGATTTACAATGTAAATTTTGATGTTGCTAACAAGCAAATTTGAATTATAATTTTATGAGGTGATGGTTTTATGTTTACTATTGTTAAAGAAATTTTAGTAAAATTTTGTACATAAATTTATATTTCGCGTAAACTTTTTCGTCTAAATTATAATTTGAAACGGAAAAAGGTTGATATTTTTTTCTAATTAATATTTTCTTATAAGATGTGAGAGAAAAATATGACAAACAATTTAAGATAGACGAGGTAGTATTTAATTAAGGCGTACCTCTTAATTTTTAGTCATAATTGAACTTATTGGGTGTTGCCCAAGTTAAAAAAACTTCTTTATATGTAAATTTATTATTCACTCAATTCACTTTTACTTATCTACCATTTTAAAAATTGATTTATACTTTTAATATATAAAAAAAAATTACTTTTTTTCCTAATTTACCTTCAATATTAAATACTCAATCCCCAAATCATTTTTCAATGCTTAAAAATATACATCAATTAATATGTAAATTATAGTTAAATAATCATATTAATCATAATATTTTAAAATAATAAATATTATAGTTAAATTTTTGTAATAGATATTTAAAATAGTTTCTCTCTATAAACGCACATTGATACTTACCCTTTTTCGTAATTTAACTCTTAAAAATATTTTTTTAAAAAAGATTAGTCAAACACAATTTGCTTATCAAAAATACTTTTCAAATAAATTAGTCAAACAGAAATTGTTATAAGTGATTTTTTTCTTCTTCCATAATAAACACTTATTTTGAGACTAGTAATTATTTATTAGGGATATTTATGAATTTATTATAAGTGGTTTTTTTTCTTCTATAAATGCGTTGTTGAGTTTGCAATAGTTTTATACAATACAATATAACAAGGGTTTAAGCCCCAAATACTCTTTACGCCAAAAACCCTACAATTTTTCTCTGCTTCTTCTTCAACAACAATGGCGCCCATGGGTGGAAAACGCTTTGCTTTAACCGGATCAAGCAGCAGCAGCAAGAACGACGGCGTTTTAGCTAGGATTTCTCAATCCTCCATTGTTACAAAGGGGAAACAAGCAGCTTGTGGTGCGACTTATGTGGGGAAAAAACTTGCGAAGAGTACTGGAAAAGCTGCGTGGCTTGTTGCTACAACGTTTTTGGTTCTGGGTTTACCGTTAATTATTGTTATGGATCGTGAACAGCAGCTGAATGATCTTGATCTTCAACAAGCTAGTCTTCTTGGTGCTTCCCCTGCTACAACCCAGAATTGATTTTGTTAGATGGGTTTGAGAAATTTGTAGAATGGGTTGGTTGGTTTTGTTAGATGTTTGGGAAGCTGCAGTTCATTAGTTAAAAAAAGAAGATCTTGATCTTCCATAGAAATTATTTTTCGTTATGTTTTGTGTTTTTTTTTAGTGTTTTGATGATGGGTTTCGAGATTGGATTGATGAAATTTGTAGAATGTGTTGGTTGCTTTATTAGATGTTTGGGAAGCTGCAGTGTTTATTAGTGAAAAAATTTGATCTTGATCTTCAATAGAATTGATTTCACTTTGTTTTGTGGTTTTTGCTATGTTTTGGTTTTGTTTAGTGTTTTGATGGTGGATTCGAGATTGGATTGCGAAATTTGTAGAATGGGCTGATTAATTGACTTTATCAGTGGAAAAAAAATCATCTTTGTGGTTTTTCTTTGTTTTATTTAGTGTTTTGATATGATGGGTTTGAGGTTGGATTGCAAAGTTTATAGAATGGGTTGGTTATAAGATGTTTGCGAAGCTGCTGGTTAATTGAAGTTATCAGTAAAAAAAATGATCTTGATCTTCAACAGAAATGATTTCTCTTTGTGTTTATGGTTTTTTGTTTGTTTGTTTTGTTTAGTGTTTTGATGATGGATTCGATATTGGATTGCATAACTAATTGAATAGTTTGGTTACTAGATGTTAATGTGCTGCCTCTGGTGAAAAAAATGTGATATTGATCTTCAATAGAACTGATTTGTGGTCAGTCTTTGTTTTATTTAGTGTTTTGATGATGGGTTTGAGATTGGATTGCGAAATTTATAGAATGAGCTGGTTATTAGATGTTTGTGAAGTTGCACCTTTATCAGTGAAAAGAATGATCTTGATCTTTAGCAGAAATGATTTTTGTTTGTTTTATTTAGTGTTTTGATGATGGATTTGAATTTGTGATTGAAAATTTTATAGAATGGGTTGGTTATTTGATGTTTGTGATGACACTGGTTAATTGACTTTATCAGTGAAAAATAATGATCTTGATCTTCAACATAAACGATTTCTCTTTGTGTTTATGGCTTTTTCTTTGTTTTGTTTAGTGTTTGATGATGAATTCGAGATTGGATTGCAAAATTTATAGAATAGTTTGGTCATGTTTGATTTTATCAGGTGAAAAGAAATGATCTTGATCTTCAACAGAAGTGATCTCTCATTGTGTTTGTGGTCTTCTCTTTGTTTTATTTAGTATTTTGATTAGGGGTGTGCATCGGTTCGGTTCGGTTTTATGTGTTAATGGTTCGATTTATCGATTTTTGGTTTGTAAATACGTCAAACCGATAACCAAACCAATAACATATTTCTTATCGGTTTTTGGTTAATCGAGGTACTTAATGGTTCGGTTTAACCAATAAAAAAAAAAACTCATATATATTAATATACACGATAAAAAAAAATTCCATATAAATCATATGATTTTTCCAGCATTTGGCATGAAAGTAAAAATCATAAAAGTAACAATCATTTTTCTTGCAAGTTTAGGCAATTGGCACATTCAAGTTAGAAGTGTGCTTGCAATTATAGAATGAAACAATAATTAGGGTTTTAAGTAATATTGAGATTAAAGTAATAGGGTTTGTAAAATGTTATATAATTAGGGTTTACTAGTCTAGGGATAAAATAGTAAATTTAGAATAGTCTTATTGGGTTATTGGTTTAACCATTAACAAAAATCATATAACCGAAAATCGAACCAATAGCCCAATAAAAAATTTTGCGAAACCGTTTAAAAATCGTTAGTCCAATAACCCAATATCATTAAACTAATAATGTTTTTTTCGGTTCAGTTTATTGGTTAAATCGGTTTTTGCACACCCCTAATTTTGATGACAGGTTTGAGATTGGAAGAATGGTTTGGTTACTAGATGTTTGTGCTGCCTTTGCTATATGTTTCTGTTTGGTTTATTTCGAAGAAAAAGAATAAGTTGTCTGTTGTGGATGCGTTGGAAGCCCTTCAATTAAGTATTTAATTATATTTTTAGTTGCTTTATTTATTATTTCATAATAGAATTTATGTTTCATAGTTTCATAAGGATTAGGTTAAGCTATAGTTATTAGTTTGGAATAGGATTATAGTTTCCTACTTTCATAAGAATTAGACTTCCTACTGATGTAATAAGACTCCTATTTAAAGGGGCTTTTGATGAATAAATTACTAAGTCATATTTCAGCAAAAAAGCAAGAGATTAGAGTTCTCTCTTTCATTGAACTCTAAGGTTTCAATCTCCCTTTGAAGGGTGGAAGAGATCAGAGTTCTCTCTTTTAATGAATTCTAAGGTTTCAGCTTCCCTTTAACGAGTTGATTTATATATCGCCATGTGAATCGATCCTTCCCTAAGATTCATAATAATGAAATATCACGAGTATTTATATACAAAAATTAAAATTAAAAGCATGCTTAATGCTTATGCATAAACATATCCATCCTCACATGGATTAAAATCCATATAATTTGGATTGACATTAAATATAATTTAAAAAAAGTAACTTAATAGTAAATATTTTAATGAATAACCATAATGAAGTCAAACTTTCAACAAGCATTTTTAAGTAAATCAAATCTAAAACTTAACTTGAATTAGTGAATATTTAAATGTACTTACGAAAAGAAGAGAAAAATATTCAGATTTTATGGAACGCTAATCCATATAATTTGGAATGACATTAAATATAATAAAAAAGTTAACTTAATAGTAGATATTTTAATGAATAACCATAATGAAAGTCAAACTTTCAACAAGCATTTTAAGTAAATCAAATTTAAAATATTTAATTAGCAAATATTTTATGAAAATATTTTTTTTATAAATAAAGAGTAAAATATTCAGATTTTATGATTAATTATTTATGAAAATTCATTAACATCAATTAAAAATTTAAACCTTAACTTGATAATGAAAATGTTATTTTCAAATTAAAAATGTAAAATTACTAAATATAACGATTTAAACATTTTATTTTTTTGTTTCAACTATACAAAATACGACTATAAATATCGTTACATCTTGCTCTAATATGTAATTAAGGGGTTAATGGTGCTGAGTGGAATTAATGCAACTTTGACACACTTCAATAAATAAAGAATTTCGTGACAACTATTTAAAAACATAATATAATTGCCTCTATATTACATTTAGCGACAATAATATAATATGAATACTTATAACCAACACTTTATATAAATGTCATTAAACACTTTAGCAATTTGGATGAAATGATATTAACTCAGTTGTCATTAAATATTGTCGCTAAAATAAAAGCTTATTACTACTAATTATTTTGTTGTAATGACACAGTCTACTAAATCTATTACGCAAAATTGAATTAGTCAGATTCCAATACGAGTACTGAACACTAATCATTAATCATTTTGTAAGTCATTACTTCATGACTTTTCAAGTATTGGAAATGAGTTCAATATGGTCTGTAGGTATATGCAATTTTCATCTCCTTTGTTTTCTGCAGTCTGCACTGAGAGACAAGCTAACTACATGTTCTACAACACTCAAAATAGGCTCTTTGATACAGGCAAAAAACTCTACGCGCGCCACAAGAATCAGAGATGATTTCCATTGTTCTTACCTGATGAGAAGTCAGAAGAGCTTCATAGAGATCATGTATCGTCTAGGCGTTGTGCTTCAACATCAGCCCTCAACGAAGAAAACAAAGAACGGAAATAAGTCTTAATAACCAACGGTGAGATCCTGCACTATACCGGGAATGGCTGTAAATAGGGCTTGACAATCAATGTCAAATATTTTAAAGGAAATGAAGTTTAGAAGTCCTCGGATACTTCTACGTTCTGAACATGTATCCGAGTTCTCCATCTGGACACGAGACATGTCAATCAATCAACTTGAGCCATTAATTACAGTTAACCGATGCAAATATGTAAGATCATATTTACACAGAAAGTTTCCACAGGCCAAATGCTCATTATGAATCATAAACCTTGTGCAAGTTAGCAAAATATGCTGTTAGGTAATACAAGATGTTCCAGAGATTAATACAAAGCAAGCTAGGATGAATATACGCAAGTTGACGATCCAGTAAAAAACTAAGAAACAGTTCTTACTCACAAAAGTGAGGCCAACTCCGACAATCTGAGGCATACAAGACTCTCTTCTCCCTTCTTTATCACAAAATGAACCATCGAAGACTTCCTTGCCATCCCCGTGTCCTCAGTTCTTTTTCACCTTTCCGAGTTGAGGGGATAAAACATATGCAATGAACTGTTGAATATGAGATACACCTTGCTGTTAGTCTTGGGAGTTTCTGATGAGTTACTGTCAGTATTGGAGTTTGACTGGACTAGCATAAAAGTATCGATACAAAATAAACGATGGAAGTTAAGACAAACATATACAGCCTATAAATGAAGAGAAAACAAAGAACTTTCTGTAAAGTAAGAAACTTTTGAAGAAAATGTAGAAGCATATTTTCAAGTGAACTGGACAAAGAGACAATATGCACATGGCAATTGGAGAAAAGGTTAAAAACCAAAAGGACTCTTTCTAATAACAACAACAATATTATACTCAGTGTAATCCCACAAGTGGTGTCGGGGGAAGGTAGGATGTACGCAGACATTACCTCTACCTTTGTGGGGAAGAGGGGCTGTTTCCGATAGACCCTCGGCTCAATAGGACTCTTTCTAATCTTGTTAATAAATAACTAACAATTTAAGTTCACTTTTTTTTTTTTTTCAAGAACTTATCACCATACATCTCAATTTTCATAGCCCAAAAATTACTCTCTTCCAAACAGTTTCCGTTTTCCTGTTTAACTAAGAAAAACCAAGAATTACAGACACAAAATCCTTTGATTTCTATTTTCCTTTCAAGAAGAGAATCGAAAAAAAGAATCCACCTTAGGAAAGCGTTGCCGGTCATAGTAAACAAGTCTGACTCCTTCAATAATCTGCAGCAAATAATGCATAGATTTAACAGCATAAGCAAGAGACAATGTTTCAAACTATTGAAAACAATATAGTACATTAGTCAAATTAGGCGTACCGTCATGTTTCTTCATTTGATTCCTTGCAAACAGCACGCATATGAGTATAAACGCCACTCCAGCTACCCCTCCTAGTATTATAGCCACTGTCTTCCCCACATTTTGCCCTGACCCTACGACAATTATTAAATGCAGCTCTCTTTACAATATAATTGTAGACAATAAACAAAAAGAATGGCTGGAAAATCTAAGGAGGACAAAGTTTTGATTTATCTAAGGAAAGAAAAAGGTGCATTGAAGTAACTGAAGTTCGGGTTGTCCTCGATCAAGTAAAATAGACGGTCTCTCCGTAAAGAGAAGAAAGTTTTTCTCTAACTCCACTTCTTGCTCTTCCGATTCACAAAGACTAGTCGGAAATTGTCTATGGGATTAGAGCTAAAGAGGGGTTTGATATAATCAACTTAATAGCACTAGTGATTCAGACCTTTTATCACAAGTCCAAGAATACAAAAGTTTATTAGCTTGACTTTGTTTGACACTGGCGAAATCATAAGCAATTACCAATTTAGTAGAATGGCAACTTCAGCAAATCAATTAGGATATATAGACTTCCCAAAAATGCGATCATGCCCGTTTCAGATCCTCCAAAAATGCACTACTTTTGGAGGATCTGACACACACCCTGCAGCATTTTTGAAGAGCTCGAGCATATAAAGCTAGACAAGAGGTTCTATATCAGTATATGTAATACCTGAAGATGAAGAAGGGGACCAATCTGAAGACGACGATGATGTTCTAGGGACCCCATTTGGAGAATTACTATAACCAATAAAACATTTGTGCAGGAAGATTTGGCCAGAGACGGAGCTTCCACATTCCACCTGAGCTTTTTGGACAGCATTTTTCACACAATCAGCACAATCAGCGGAGCCAACATCCCCTTCACATTGCCCCATGGTATAAACAGACTGATAGCTTGTTGTGTAGAAGCCATTGCTACTAGCCATGCCATTTTCCAATGTGGAAAAAGCAGTATCCCTTCTTTCCTCAAATCCACTACCTGACAATATTTTCGACACGGATTCTAAATATATATATATGAAAGAAATACTAAATCTTGAACGTGTAATTTGAAGAGTGTAATGGGTATGGTGGTATATACTAAAGATTGAACCTATAAAACTTAAATTCTGAATCTGAAATAACTACCTAGCTGTGGTTGATGTATGTAGGTATAAGTACATGTTAGACCAAAACCAGAATTTTCGAGACAAAACATAAATATATGTAACAAAATCACCAGAAACTCAGGAAATAATAAATTTTTAACACATATTTGAAATGCACAACCGGTTCTGCGGTTAAAATCTAACAATTTGAACTCGTAAAATTTAGACTGAAGCATTTTTCCCATTTATAAGTCTTCTACAGCATCTCCGTTCCAGAGATTTGAGGGAAACCAGCAACCTCATATAGAGCATGTATTGGTCATAAAGCTGGATTCTTGCAGCAACAGGCTTGCTACCACAGAGCTTATCTATGAGTACTGGCAAACCCCACACACATTTATAGCAGTCAAACATTAGAGAGGTCACCTCTTCACTGAAAAAGACCAGAAATTATGGACTGCCTACTATCAGAACTAAAGAGCGAATAAATAAAATTTAAATTCTAAATACAACACAGCTACCTACACCAGTACTTTTGACACAGAGTATAACTATATGTGCAAGAAACACTAAAAATCCAAAAAAGTTAAAATTGAACTCATAAAGTTTATATCTTGAATCCGCCTATGCTACCTGGAGCATTTTTCCCACTACAAGTCTTGAACAGCATCTCCATTCCAGAGATTTGAGGGAAACCAGAAACCTCATAGAGCATGTAAAAGCCATAAAGCTGGATGCTTGCAACAACAGGATTGCTACCACATAGCTTATCAATGAGTATTGGCAAACCACTCACACATTTATAGCAGTCAACATTAGAGAGGTCACCTCCACACTGAAAAAGACCAGGAATTATGGACTGCCCACTACCAGTACTAAAGAGCGGACCTATAAACTTTAAATTCTGAATCCAACTTTGACACAGAGTATAACTATATATGCAAAGAAACACTAAAAATTCAAAGAACATCAAAAAAGTTAAAATTGAACTAGTAAAGTTTAAATCTTGAATCCGCCTATGCTACCAGGAGCATTTTTCCCAGTACAAGTCTTATACTGCATCTCCATTCCAGAGATGAGCATGTAACAACCAAAAAGCTGGATTCTTGCAGCAACAGGCTTGCTACCACACAGCTTATCAATGAGTATTGGCAAGCCACTCACATTTAAAGCAAAGGTCACCTCTACACTGAAAAAGACCAGAAATTGTGAACTTCCCACTACCAGTACTAAAGAGTGAACGTATCAACACAGAGTGTAACTATATATGCAAGAAACACTAAAAATTCAAAATATTTGAAATAGAACTAGTAAAGTTTAAATCTTGAATCCTCCTAAGCTACCTGGAGCATTTTTCCCACTACAAGTCTTGAACAGCATCTCCATTCCAGATATTTGAGGGAAACCAGCAACCTCATAGAGCATGTAACAGCCATAAAGCTGGATTCTTGCAGCAACAGGCTTGCTACCACATAACTTATCTATGAGTATTGGCAAACCACTAACACATTTATAGCAATCAACATTAGATAGGTCACCTCTACACTGAAAAAGACCAGAAATTGTAGATTGCCCACTACCAGTACTAGTCTTATAGAACTTGGACTTTGAGGACTGTGAAACAAGAGTGCCAAAAAGGGAAGAAAGAGCTTGTGAGTAAACCCCAGATGGATCTGATAAATCTTGCTTTGCACAACCCTTGTAAATCAACTTAGTATAGTCAGAATCAGATTTAGCTTGTGGGGTTAGCTTGAAAATGGTAAATATAACTAAGAAAAGAGAGAATATGCAAAATGGCTTTGTGGGCAAACCCATTTTTTGTGGATTCTTGATGAATTATTCCATTGTTGTTGGTATTTTATTTTTTTTAAATAAAGATTTCAAGCTTGGGTTTTTGAATAGTGAAAATGAGAAAATGTTGAAGGGTTTATTTGCTGTTTTTGCTTTCTTTCTTTCTTTCTCAAAAAAGGGAGCCTTGTCTTGGTGGTGTAATTCAACTTTCTCTTTTATTGTGCAGATAGAAGTTATCTCTACTAGTAGTACATATGACATGAAAAATACACAATTGTATCGTAGTGATGAGATTGTTTCACTTTTAATCAAAAGTTTTGAACATGAATTCGAAATATGGAGAAATTTTATTGGAAGCACCACCCTCAAATGGGTCCACAATGTGTGATCCCGATTTAGTTGGAGTTTCAATGCAGATTCCGACCATTGGATGGAAAACCAAAGAAAAAAAGATGAAAAATATTAATATTTTTTCATTCGGTGTTCAGTATTTTCATTGGAGTTTGATTAATTTAAATATATGTTGTGTAACGCTCCATTCAAGTAAAGCACTATATAACAAATTTTTTCTTATACTCGAAACTAAAACTCAAGAACTTTAATTTAACGAGAATTAGCTCAATTTACCACACTATTATCTTTTAGTGATAGATGATTATTTGATGGTAGTACTATTATACTTCAGAAAATAGTCCATTTTTATGAAAAAGTGGTAATTATTTTATTAGAAAAATAGGTAGTCTTTTTTTAAGGAGAAAGTGATGGTCCCTATGTTTTATTATGTACTACTAACTGTGTTTGATTAGACATGATCACATGTAACTTAAGAATTTTTTGAAAAAGAATTTATGGTGTTAAATCTATTATAAATATTTTTGTAGTTATAAAAATTCTTATGATGGGTCATTGACATTAATTAACACATAAGATTGAAACATAATTGAACTTTTAAGATTAAAATTATGTGTCAATAGTATTTTCAAAAAGAAAGTTCACTAAGTCAAAATTAGAATAGTGCTTGTAGAAAAACTTATGTAATTCTACTATTAGAAAGAATCGATCTAATCAACTTACATTCCGCAATTGACTAGTGTAATAGACGGAGTAATTTAGAGTGTTACATGAAATATGAAAGTAACATTCTTTTTAAAAATAATAATTTAAGAATGAAAGATTCTTATTATTTTTTATTAAGAAAATCATGATATCTTAGTATTTGTACTACTAATAAAAATAAAATAAAACTCATAGAGTGGAAGAAATATTCCCTAGGTAAGAGAGAGGTGAGAGTAGATGAAGAGAATTAATTAACTTCATAAGTTTGACCGACCTTATTCAATTCCAATATTTGAAATTTGAATATTTTTGGGTATATTTGTCTCTTATGTTGAAAAATAATAATTAATATTTGCCTCTTATATCCACTATTAATGGAGTTCAACCAACATCATGCGAAGTATTTGTGTTTTTTTTTTTAGTGATCAACACTAGGACAGATGGAAAAGTAATTTTTTGTTTTTGTTGAAATTTAAATTTAAAATTTCATCATTTTCAATTCACTTCAGTTATTATTAAGTCATATCCTTGAATTCAACATCAGTGAAACATTATACAATTAAGAACATCAGAAGTTATCAATATGTCTTGTGATAAAATCGTCGAGATCTCTACAATTTTAATTGATAATCTCAAATTTGAACCTCCAGAAATAATGGAAAGTATGGTGGGACTGTGAAAAAAAATCTATTGAAAAGAAAACACCCTGAAAAATATGAATATCAAATCTATTGAAAAAAAAATACCCTAAAAAATATGAATATCAAATACCGAAGGAAAAAAAAGTAAAAAGTTCTTTAATCATGTGTAAGCCAATTTTAAACAATTGGGGCAAGTAGTAAGAACCACATGAGAAGATCTCTGTCATGTGATAACCTGCAAGGTGGACAACATTAAGTGAGAAATAAACAAATAACATTAAGATTTGGCCCAATAATGCTTAAAATGGACTTAATGGTGATACTGTACGTACTGCTCCCCCAACTTTTTATGGATGGTTACGTTATAGTTTCACAAAGAACTCATTCGAAAGTTATATCATCAAAATATTCATAAGCTAACACACATGAAAAAAAATCGCCTAATTCCAGTAAAATAGCCCCTAAATGAAATTTAAAAATGGTGAGACTATACATACTGCTCCCTCAACTCTCTACGAAGGTGTCCGTAATGGTTTCGTTAAAAAGTCGTTCGAAGTCCATATCACCAAAATATTCATGGATGTTACACACAAAAAACTAAGAAAATCAACTAATTCACTTAAATTGACCCTTAAATGTCCACTATGGACTCTAAAAATGGTGAGACTGTATACTGCTCACCCAACTCCCACAGAAGGTTCTGTAAGGTTTCACAAGAAAATATTCTTAAGGTCATATCACCTAAATATTCATGGGCTAACACACAAAAAAAATTGAGAAACATCTGATTCGTGTAAATTGGCCCTAAATATCCGAAATGCACTCTAAAAATGGTGAGATATACGTACTCTGAGAAGCCAATTTTAAACAATTGGGGCAAGTAGTAAGAACCACATGAGAAGATCTCTGTCATGTGATAACCTGCGAGGTGGACAACATTAAGTGAGAAATAAACAAATAACATTAAGATTTGGCCCAATAATGCTTAAAATGGACTTAATGGTGATACTGTACGTACTGCTCCCCCAACTTTTTATGGATGGTTACGTTATAGTTTCACAAAGAACTCATTCGAAAGTTATATCATCAAAATATTCATAAGCTAACACACATGAAAAAAAATCGCCTAATTCCAGTAAAATAGCCCCTAAATGAAATTTAAAAATGGTGAGACTATACGTACTGCTCCCTCAACTCTCTACGAAGGTGTCCGTAATGGTTTCGTTAAAAAGTCGTTCGAAGTCCATATCACCAAAATATTCATGGATGTTACACACAAAAAACTAAGAAAATCAACTAATTCACTTAAATTGACCCTTAAATGTCCACTATGGACTCTAAAAATGGTGAGACTGTATACTGCTCACCCAACTCCCACAGAAGGTTCTGTAAGGTTTCACAAGAAAATATTCTTAAGGTCATATCACCTAAATATTCATGGGCTAACACACAAAAAAAATTGAGAAACATCTGATTCGTGTAAATTGGCCCTAAATATCCGAAATGCACTCTAAAAATGGTGAGATATACGTACTCTGAGAAGCCAATTTTAAACAATTGGGGCAAGTAGTAAGAACCACATGAGAAGATCTCTGTCATGTGATAACCTGCGAGGTGGACAACATTAAGTGAGAAATAAACAAATAACATTAAGATTTGGCCCAATAATGCTTAAAATGGACTTAATGGTGATACTGTACGTACTGCTCCCCCAACTTTTTATGGATGGTTACGTTATAGTTTCACAAAGAACTCATTCGAAAGTTATATCATCAAAATATTCATAAGCTAACACACATGAAAAAAAATCGCCTAATTCCAGTAAAATAGCCCCTAAATGAAATTTAAAAATGGTGAGACTATACGTACTGCTCCCTCAACTCTCTACGAAGGTGTCCGTAATGGTTTCGTTAAAAAGTCGTTCGAAGTCCATATCACCAAAATATTCATGGATGTTACACACAAAAAACTAAGAAAATCAACTAATTCACTTAAATTGACCCTTAAATGTCCAAAATGGACTCTAAAACTGGTGAGACTGTATACTGCTCTCCCAACTCCCACAGAGGGTTCTGTAAGGTTTCGCAAGAAAATATTCTTAAGGTCATATCACCTAAATATTCATGGGCTAACACACACAAAAAATTGAGAAACATCTGATTCGTGTAAATTGGCCCTAAATGTCCAAAATGCACTCTATAAATGGTGAGACTATACGTACTCCTCCCCCCCCCCCCCCCATTACCCTCCGCCCAAACTCTAGTAAC